TCATCACCACTGTGAACAATTCTGACTTCCCTAGAATAGAGCATTTCACACCAAACAACTCTGACCAACTCTTTTTATGTTTTAAGTGTTTGATTATGCAGAAGTTTTAAAAGGTGTATGTAAAATAGTTTCTTTGCCAAACTGTCGCTTTCCTCTCCAGCTCAGCCTCCTACAGGTCTCAGCATGAAGATGTAATGAAATGAGGTGCATGCAGTGGGATTTCAGTTTGCATGAGTGTATTCATGTGTGCGTTGGTGTGCTGTGTGTGTAGGAGGGGCCATTATATAAACACACCGTGAAGAGGCTGCTGGTGTGCAGATGTACGTGTTAGTCTGAGTATTTGTGTGCTTATATATATATATATATATATATATATATATATATATATATATATATATATATATATATATATATAATACAAACTGCACTCAGTTCAGTTTTGTTTAGTTCTGTTCTGATCATTTCACTTTGGTTCAGTTCAGCGCATTTCTGTTCTGTTCAGTTTACTTCAATTACGTTCACTTCAGTTCAGTTCAGCTTAGTTTAATTCAATTACATTCAGTTCAGTTTAGTTCAGTTTGTGTTGTTTTATTTATTTATTTATTTATTTATTTATTTATTTATTTAAGTTCAGTCTAGTTAGGCTTGGTTTGTTTCAGTTCGGTTTGGTTTGTTTCAGTTCAGTTTGTTCCAGTTCAGTTCTCTCTACCTACCACCCTCAGTCATTCTCCCCTTTCTCTCTTTCTCTCTCTCTCTTGCTCTCTCTCTCACTCTCCCTCTCTCTCTTAGTGGTTCTTCAGTGCACTCTTGGCAGAGTGCTATCGATGATAAAGTGGAGCAGAAATAAACAAATCCTCAGAGAGGAGACAGATTCAGATCTGCTTCAGTGATGCGATTCAAATCAATCAGCATGATGTTCACGCCCCAGAGAGGTGAGAGAGGAAGAATATTTGTTGTCGTCAAGGTGATTTCCTCCAGTGAACAAACAAAACCATCACACAGTACCTCAGAGAAAAAAGTAATATATTAAATTCACTTCATTCAAATGCGTACATCCTTTCCCCATGAATAAAATATGTTATGTCAACACAAATCTACCAAAAAAAAATTCACTTTTGTTTATTTAATGCAGTACGTTGTTTCATTGTACTGCTATCAGGAGCTCCCTCAAAAAACAAATACAGTGTTAGTCGAAGGCTCGGACAGATTATATGTATGTTTTTCATAATCCTTAAGACATTCTGATCTAAAGGTGTATGCTTAAATGCTTGAAATTTGTTGCAACCTATGTATGAATGAATGAATGTTTCCAGAACTAACAATTTAAATGTAAGAGACCTAAAACTTTTGCACCTACTTGTTTCTACACTCAGTGTCCATTTTAACAGCCCCATTTACCATATAGGAGCTCTTTGTAGTTCTACAATTACAGACTGTAGTCCATCTGTTTCTCTGCATACTCTGTTAGCCTCCTTTCACGGTGTCATTCAGTGGTCAGGAAAAATGTCAAAAATCAGAAGCAAAAGAAAAACAACAAAAGAGCAACTCCAGAAGCAAAAAATGTATCAGCAAAATCAGCAAATATTAAAAATTTAAAGCAAAAACTGGTAAAATAGGTAATAAATGTATAACCAAATGAGCAAAAATGAGTAGAAACCTTTTTTAAAAAAAACATGTTTGATTTAACTCTAAATATTTGTATTTGCAACAAGTTTCTGACGTTTTGATACTCAGTATTGTTCTTGTGGATTTTATAATTTTAGTTGAAACTTTTGGCATAAAATTAACTACACAGAAACAGACCCATGCAAAAATCAGTGCCTCCACATTTTGAACACCTCATGTTTTACAGCATAGCGGTTAGCGATCATCATTCAGCGTCTGTCAAAGGAGAAAATGAGCTTGAAAATGGCCAGCTACGGTTTAAAATCAACACCATGCCCCATCCCCCTGCAGTTACCACAGTAACCAGAGCTAAAAATAGCAGCCCGATGCAGGGGGCCATTCAACATCACATTCCCTTTGATGCTAGATGCTATTTTTATCCACTGCTGGTGAGCGGAATGCGTGAGAAACAGCTATGTGGTGCTAAGACGTCCAATTAATGTCATGACAAGGAAGGCAAATTATGCTCTCTTTCTAGCCCATTATGCTCAGACACACAGCAGTGCGCATAAAAGTTTGGCAGGATAAAATGGAACCTCTTCTGTCCCCCTGCTGCTTAAAAGCTCTATCAGACCAGGGCAATGTTTGTAATATATGTACCATCATGTAGAGAGCTAATTGCTTTGCAGTCATCTGCAATGGCACACCACAGGTCTGTCCATGTTGGAGGTAGTCAGGATGTAATGCTTAAGCAAATGACATGTGAACCATCTCGCCAGGGATTGGTCAAAACGTTGCCATGGAAACCGTCTCATGCAGCCTCATTGGTTTGTGAAGAGTAGTTATAAAGAGTCAGGCATCCAAATCCAAATCCAAGGCAAACATTGGCTGACATTTAAAACGTTAGCATACTTACACAGCCAATAGAAGTGAATGGCTGTCACTCACAGTTCCAGGACTGTCTTTTTTTCCTGTCTTTTTTTCTGTCCCGTCCCTGGCATCCCTCCTCCGCTGTACCTTGCGTTCTAGTGGTCTCCTCCGCATTAGAAACACAAGGCTGCTTACAGTGGCTTTGCCTTTGGTTCCGCATTAAAATCTAATACCAGCTGAAAGTCGACTCCTCCCAAACAACACACACACACGCACACTGATACACAGAAAGAGAGTCTGTCAGACATGATAAGAGCATTAACAGTCACGAAGCAAGTAATTATATAAATAAACAAGTCTACCAATGGGCATTCAGTGTACAAGGGAGACATATGGATGAGTGATTAGATGATTAGATGGATGGATGAATGAACAGAATGACTGGAGTCAAAAGGTCTACAGGTGGGCATTTGCTGTACAAAGAAGACATACGGATGAACGAATGGATGATTGGAGGAATGAAGGATGGATGGATTGATGGATAATTAGATGGATGGATGAATAAACAGGATGATTGGACAAATGAACAGATGGATGGATGGAGTCAACAGGGCTACTATACAAGTTAACTATATGGATGATGGATGGATGGATGGATGAACAGGAAGATTGGATGAACAGTTGATGGATGGAGTCAAAAGGTCTACAGGTGGGCATTTGCTGAACAAAAAAGAAATATGGATGAATGGATGGATGATTGGAGGATTGAACAGATGGATGGATGCATGGATGATTAGATGTATGGGTGAATAACAGAATGATTGGACAAATGAACAGATGGATGGATGGATGGAGTCAACATGGCCACTGTACAAGTTAACTATATGGTTGGATGGATGGATGGATGGATGGATGGATGAACAGATGATGGGTGGAGTCAAAAGGTCTACCAGTGGGCATTTGCTGTACAAAAGAGAAATATGTATGAATAGATGGATGATTGGAGGATTGAACAGATGGATGGACGGATGAATGAATGGATGGATGTAAGGATGGATGGATTATTAGATGGAAGGATGAGTAAACAGGATGACTAGACAAATGAACGGATGGATGGATGGATTCAACAGGGCTACTGTACTAGTTAACTATATGGATGGAATGATGGATGATGGATTGATGGACAGAATGATTGGATGGATGGATGATGGATGGTGTCGACAGGTCTACAAGTGGACATTTACTGCACCAGGGGGACCTATGGATGAATGATTGGATGAATGCACAGATGGACGGTTCTGTCTATCCATTCGTCCTTCAATCCATCCGTTCATTCGTCAATCCATAAGTGAGTAGCCTGAGTATGTTTTAACATGGAAGCCACAATCTTACAGTAGTTTAAATTTTAAATGTCATGCTATGGGAAAATACATGTGCATACATCTGCTTTGATTACCTACATGCGATATATGTGATGTCTTAGATGTTTTCAAATATATGTGTTTTTCTAATCAGTACTTAAAGTACACAGACTAACTACATGTTTCTTTACAAAGTAAGCATGATCAGTCCTGTTTAATTGGAATTTGTGCAGCACAGTTTGTAAAACATCGACTAAAATCATTGTAAATGTAGGTTTGTTATTATTATTATTATTATTGTTGTTGTTGTTTTTATTGTTATTATAGTATGTTTATATGTGCCACTAAATGTTCTATTTAGTCTGTTTCATCTTATTAAACCTCCAAAAAACTAAATATTGTGATGCATATCAAGTATCATGAAAATGCCTGGAAGTATCATGATGTAACATTTTTGCCATATCGCCCACCCCTATGCTAAATATATTTAACTGTACCCTTTTTGAATGTTTAAATATATGGCAATATATGCTCATATGTGCTATTCTACAATACCCTTGTAAAAATCCCACAAGATTCCTGCTGAAAATGTGATGGTCATACCTGCAGGAACAGTGTGAAGAACATTTCTGCAGGGATATAATCCCACAGGATTTTCAGTGATCATTTTGCTGTGGGATTCCTGAAAGCTGGACAATTGTCATGGAAATTCTTGGATCGTTCTTCACAATTTCTGAAGGGTTTTGGAGTAGCTGGAGTAAGACAACGTTTAATTCAGTTGTTCAGATACATTCATGGATTCACCTTTTCAGGCAAAAAAAAATTGCAATTGTTGTGTTCATCAAAAGGTAATCATGCAAAATTCAAACATGGTTTAATATTTAATTGTGTTTTGTATCGTTATACAGATCCTGCAGGTGTATCTGGACTCTTATCTGTGGGAATTTCTAATGCCTGCACAATTCCTGCAGGACTTTTTTGTAAATGACTCGCACATACAGGTCAAACATATATGGAAATACAAGTTTAACATATAAAACAATTTAGGGAAGTGAGTTTTCTTTATATGCGGCTCATATTATGTTGAGTATGTTAGGTGTAGTATTCTAAGTACATTTAAAGTTTTGGAGTACTGTTAAAACTGTAGGCCCGTTTAAGACGTTCCCCCTCTGTGCCTTGTCCATACAGGCATTATGGTGTTTAGCTTAGCCGCTTAGCTCCAGTCTAGCCGGCCCTGCATCACAGCTGATGGGGCTTTAGGCTGCAGAGGAGCCGGATGGTGGCGGAGCGTCAAAGCGGCCGGGAAAACAAACTTTCAGCCTCGTTTAAGCTCCTCTAACCCTCTGCTCACGTTTCAACAGGGATCGAGTGGATTTTCTGAAGCATGGAGGACGACTTGGTGTGCGAGTACGACTCCACCTGGGACACGGAGAGCGATGGAGACGAGCTGGGGGAGAACCCGGCGCGGCGCTGCAGCCAGGACAAAAATAAAAGATCCAGGACTGCTTTCGTACGTGCTTAAGCTAATTTATCACATCCAAACGCATTTAAGGCCACCAGTCTCCGCTTAGGAACCGTGAGCTTGTTTGTGGCGCGTTTAGTGCAGTTTTGTGTGTTTTTAGTGGAGTTATTACAGCAGGATTTGGGCTGCTGCTGCAGATGCTGCGGGTTAGCTAACGGATGAGCTAGCGGCTAAGCTAAGATGCACTCTTAAAAGAGATGGTTCTTCCAGGGCTCTTTAGTAAAGGGAATGGTTCTGTTTAGGACCATGAGTTCTACATAGAACCACTTCATGCGTGAATGGTTCTTTGCATGGTGAAATGGTTCTTCAGACTGATGTAGAATGTGATGTATATGGTTCTATATAGAACCTTTTTGAAAATGGTTCTACACAGCACCAACATTTTCTGGTATTGTCTCGATGTCAAGATTGTAACATGTAAGGAGAACGCTTTTTGCTGCTACGTAGAACCATTTTCAAAAAGTTTCTGTATAGAACCATATACAACACATTATGCATCATTACACCCTGAAGAACCATTTAAGCTTACAGACGGTTCTGTGTAGAACCAATTTGAACATACTCACGAATGTCAGGTTTCTAACATGTTAGATGAAACCTTCTTGGTGCTACATAGAACCATTTTTGAAGGTTATATATAGAACCATGTACAACACATCATAAATCAGTCTGAAGAACCATTTCACCATGCAAAGAACCCTTTAAGTATGCAAATAATTCTGTCTAGACACCATAAAGGGTTCTGCTATTGTCATGATATCAAGCTTCTAGCAATAGAAGAGCCCTTTTTGGTGCAATATAGAACCATTTTCAAAAAGGTTCTATATAGAACCATGTACAGCACATTCTCCATCAGTCTGAAGAACCACTTCACCTTGCAAAGAATCTTTTAATCATGAAAGTGGTTCTATGTGGAACTCATGGTTCTGAACAGGACCATTACCTTTACTAAAGAACCCCCAAAAAATGTTTTTTTAAGAGTGTAGTGATTGATGAATGATGCTTAAGAAGTGCAGATAACTTACAACACATTATCATGTTTTCCCTGCTCTAACATGCAGGATGTACTCATGAAATGGGCTGATGAGTTGAATCAGGTGTGTGATGTGCGATAAGAAAGCTGACCAACACTTCTGCTACTGGATAAAGTCATGCTCATCTGAAATCCTCCTTTTTTCAGTTGTATATCATGGTCAAGCCACCAGCCATAGTGGCAAAGGCAAAGAGAGGCCACTGCTGGCCTCTGTGTTTCAGTGAATAGAACACAGTGGGCCTTATTCAGCAGTATCTTCCTAAGTTTGTTCTTAAATGTGTTCTTGAGAAAGGTCCTAAGAAAAAGTCTACGTCAGATTAATGACGTGTTCTTAAAGCGCAGAACTGTTCACACCTTTGTGCTCTTGAGTGTCTGTAGATTCTGTTCTTACCTAAGAACAAATCCCAAATAAGAAAACACAGGTGAATGTCAAAATCTTCGTGAAAACTGCATAAGAATAAATTTCTTCTTAAGAACGGTTGGTGAATGAGGCCCGATGTAGGTAGTGCATAACAGTTTTGGTATCAAATGTGGTTTTGAAGTAGGGCTGGGCAATATTTATCATAATCATGATAAAAATTATATCACAATATGCTTCTTAGAGTATATTGATGACAAGGATTAAAAACACTGACCAGCGTTTTTCATTACAACGACTGTTATTAGTGCTGTATAATTAGAATTATTGCAGTGCAGTGAAATTTTTTTTTTTTAATGTGGCATTTCTTGTTCTTTTTCTGTTCCAACATATCAGATGTCAGAAAAAATAAATATTGTGCCATATCGTGTATCGTGAAAAGTTGTTGAAGTATCATGATATTATATTTTCTCCTTATCGCCCAGCTCTAGTTATGACTGCTTAATTTAGTAGGGAATTATTATTCTGTGTAGCTGGTCCCATTTTTTGTGCTGTGCGCTGGACACAGTGTCCCATGCACAGCACTGCAGTGAGAGTGCTCTTTAATATCAAGTCATTCTTCCAATTTTAGAGCAGTCGTGTATGATGACTACAACCATCGTTCAGTTCAGTGGCACATTACAATAGATTTCTTCCTCTCCTTCATCAGTTAGAAGTGCTCTTTTCCTGAATAGATTAAAAATGTCTGGGCGTCCTCCCTGCACAGGGAACAGTATAATCATCCTGGATAATTGGTTGCCGCTTGGCCTTGCAGCAGTGTCCTTTACTTGGAGAAGAATATGCAAAAGAGTGCTGTGGTATGCGCTACACGTAGTGGAAAAGTTTTTGTTTTTGTTCCTTTATGTATATTGCATGCTGTGTAAGGTTAAATGTAGTTATTATGTATGGTTTCAGTGTACATTTCTCTGGTGTTAAAGATGGCTTTATAGGCAAACTGCAGAAGCATAAAGGAAACAGGGCAACTTCACTGATTTCTAAAATTTTCTGAATAATTCAGTGGTTGAGATTTAAACAGAGTCATTCAGAGTGGTTTGGTGTGAAATGGTTCAGATTTCTGTACAGTGGTGGTGATAGGAACCGGGGGTCACCATAACTACAACACAAATATAGCCATTTTATTTACTGTCCAAAACCACCAGTGAACCTGCATGTGTCTTCTGAGTCTTTATATGTAATGTTGATGATGGTAAAATGGTTATCCTTTGGTCTTATAACGCCCTGCACGTCCCTCTCCACCATGAATGTATTGTAATAAATAGCTAGTTATAAAAGCATCAGGTGGCATTTATAACCATTTCATGCAATAACTTTCTGTGAGGGAGGTAACTTTGAACTGTATTTATAAGTGAAGTGAGTAAATTGGCTATGCAGCATAACTTGCATTTCCGTGACTATTAGTGGTGTAACGATATGCATCGTTTTTGGTTCCAGTTTTTAGTTGTAAGGTCGTGATTCAGTTTGATTCAGTTCGATTTTAAATATTTTAAGAAATAAATGTACACAGACCTTTATGTCCAACACAGACTGGCTCGGATAATGTTTTTTCAAAATAAAAGATTGTAAAAGAACATGTTTTTGTGCTATAAGCACCTATAGTGTGTGTAAAGTAAGCCCTGGCCACTTTAATTTAGGGGTGGACAATATGGTTAAAATTTAACATGATGATCCTTGAAGACATTCCCACGATACACGATATGCATCACAATATTTAATTTTTCGAGGTTTGATAAGTTTGAAAGGAAAGAACAACCAGTAGTGCCACATTTATAATACTGTGAAAAACTTTGTATACAGTGATTTTTGTTTAGTGTCTTAAATCCGCTGCACTGAATACAGTTAAACAGGACTAATTATGTTCTTTTTGTAATAAGACATGCTGTCGGTCAGTGTTTTTTAAGTACCAGCTACATCTACAATGTGCTCAGGAAAGCATATTGTATGGAGCCCTTCTGATAACGTTGTGTTATGTGGCAGCGGGGGCGTGGTCAAGTGACGTCTGCAAGGAAGAGGCTGGGCCAGAGTGAGGATGTGGACTGATTGGCAAACGCTTACACCTGTGGCTAATTTTCTCTCTCCCTACTAATATGAGCTTCTTTCCCCAGTAGGGAGAGAGACACAAGGGAGACATGAGCTCGCGGCAGGGAGACAAGATGAACTTGAAACTCCAGAGACGACTCTGAAGCCTGCAGTAGTGAAGAGCTTTCCTCTCACAGCCTAGCGTTCTTTTGTTTGTTGTGTGTTTATTTTGAGAGAAAGAATAAAAGCTCCCTGCCCGCTGACACTGCCGCATCAGTGCTCCTCTTTCCTTCCACCGCCCCCCACCCAGGGTATCTCAGTAGAAATAAAAATAATTTGTGGCCACGATTTAGTAAGGTGTGTGAGTGAGATCATAATGCATGGCCACTACTTAGTAAGGCATGAGAATGAGATAATTAGGCCTTGACCACAGCTTAATAAGGAATGATCTCATTACCACACGAATTACTAAGTTGTGGCCATGACTTAATTATCTCGTTCCCATGTCTTACTTAGTCATGGCCATGCATTAGGATCTCATTACCACACCTTACTTAGTCGTGGCCTTGTATTTGGATCTCGTTCCCACGCCTTACTAAGTCTTGGCCACATCTTAATTATCTCATTCCCACACCTTACTAAGTCTTGGCTACAACTTACTTGTTCCCGCACCTTAATAAGTTGTGGCCATGACTTAATTATTTCGTTCCTATGCCTTACTAAGTCGTGGCCACGCATTAGGATCTCATACCTACGCATTGATACGGCGTGGCCGCGCATAATTTTTATTTATACAGTGTGTCACCAGCAGGCCTCTGTAATATTGTTGATAACAATGTGATATTGTCATATTGCCAATGCTTACTCTGATTGGCTGCACCTAGTTTTAATAGACAGTGGTTTTCATAAAAGACAGAAAATGAGAAACGCTCAGGATGGAGAGGGGGGTGTATGAGAGATACAGTTTCAGTTTTTTCAATGTTATTTTTATTTATTTATTTTTATTACTGATTAAAATTGTTACCTTAAATCACTGCTAGCAGTCTTACCAGTCAATGCTGCTCTCAATTCATTGTGACTTTTTTATTATTGTTTAGCGCAGTTCCTGTCCTAATTGTTTGTTAGAAGCTGATGGAGCTTTTTCTCTTCCCACAGTGGTCCAATTCTTCTTCCAGAAATCTTCGTGCAGCGAAGGACATGCAGAACTACAGACACGGCTATCCAGTGAGTTTTCTTATTGAAACAAAAATAGTGATAATACCTCTTTGCTAATTTGGTTATAAACAAAACGAACTGTTCTTTGAATCCTGTTTGTCTTCATTTCTGCTCAGAATATCATTGATGAGGAAACCTCGGAGGACAGGATGCCCAACTTGAAATTTTATTTAAATGAAATAAAATCTTCTCCTGATGGTGCGTCTCTTTTTGAGTTTTCAGCTTCGAATTCCTGTAAAAATGTACAGAATATAATTTTGCTTTGTTTTTTAGATGTGTCAATTGAAACGTTTCACAATGAGTGGAGAACGGACTACAAGAGGCTGGAAAGGGTTCACTCTTACATTCAGTGGTGAGTTGTAATTATTATTTTACTTTTCTATTTTTTCCAAACTGCGAGTTAACTGCGAATTAACTTATTAAAGCACTTTGGTTTTTTGGCTGAAAGAGAAAAAAGGCCAAACATTTTGGCTGAAAAAAAAGGTTGATTAAATAGAAGTAGTAAGTATGTATAGGAATAGTAAGTAGAAGAGTCCAAATCTAACACATTACAGATAATTTCAGTATTAGTTAACACAAGATACAGTGATTAGAAAACACTGTTTTCTTTGCTCTCCTGAGCTGGGCAGCACAGATGTGTTCAAACAGTTGGAACTGCAGCAGATTAACAGTGAAAAAAAATCTGCCATGTGAAACTATTTTACTGTTTCTTTGAGTCATGATATTTGTAATTACTATTCATCTTGAGTGTCCAGAAGAGATACAAGGCTCAAGAGTTTCTCCACCATGTTTAATTCCACTTGATAATATGACTTGATATGCAGTGTAGAGCAACACAACACCGATGCCCTCTGTACACTCTCTTGTCGAGGATGTTGGATTTGGTGGCACATTCTGTAGCCTAGTACTCTAAAAAATTGAGTAAGTTTGTTATGTAAAATGTTTTATTTGTGGCCAGCTCAGTTTTGTCCTGTTGAAAGAACATTTTATCAAAAATAGAAGTGTTTTCTTTATTAACTAATATATGTTTATTTGAAAGTGTAAGTTAAACAACAAATATTTTACTTATTTCTGATCGAGTGACTGCAGTTTTTGCCATTACACACTAATTTAACTGGTTCTATTAAAAGAAATATGAAGTTTTATTTTGTTCCTTCCTTGATGATGGGACAGTTTGGATCAGTGTTGGACAGAATTTCGTTGGTCATCAAACTTTATAACATGTCAGGTCGTGTTCGGACTGAAAACTTGGTGCTGTGTACAGGTCAGGTTGGGCTTGGACAGACAGTTATTGGACGTTATTCAGGTTTGCTCCTAAATATCAGGCCAGATTAATCCAGGGCTTAAAATTGTGTTTGTAACACATGACACGAAATACCCAGTACTAGAATTGCAGTTTCATGTTTTGTCCATATCATGCACTAATCGCTTGCCTTCTGCATGAATGTGAATCTCATAGGTTGTTTCCTTTGCGGGAGCCGGGAGTGAATTACATGGCTACAGAGCTCACCAAGAAAGAAATCCAGGTGAGAATCACTTCAGTTGCGAAACATACAGAAACATGACATTTAAATAAGGCATGAAAGTTCACATCTTCTCGTTTGGATTAATCTCTCATTACATAATCATTCCCTGTCCTGGTCCTGGAGGAGCCCTGCACACGCTTTCACACTTTCACACACCAACTGCAGCTCAGTAAGAGCTTGTTAATGAGCAGATTAGGTGTGTTAGAACTAGAGAGTACCAAAATATTTATTTATTTTTTATTTGTTATGATACAGAGCCTTGTAGTGCACTGGATTAGGTCAGGTCATGAATGTAGTACCGACACAGTTGGGGTGGGAAGGGGGAGGGTAAAGGGTGTCATGTTGTTGCAGAATACAAATATATGTGGTTTTGTATTAATCTAAGATAAAAATCAATAAAAAATGTTAATGATAAAAAAAAACTAAGCAAGAGATTATAACTGTTTCAACCATTTTCTTTTTTATTATTATAAGGCAGTAAAAAAAAGTAAAAAAAAATCAATAAGAAGCTGTAACCTCTTACTCAGTCATTTGTTGAGTGTGGGCGTCTGTCTACTCTTTAAATTTTGGATGATTGTGGAGAGCCTACGTACCAGAGTAAAAGAGCGAGGTGAAATTTTTTTCCCAGTATGTTAAATTGTATTTTTTTCCCAGTGTGTTAAATTCAGCAGATTAACAACAGTTAATTTTAACACAAGTGTCTTTAAGTGTTTTCACTTTAAACATAAATAAAACATGAATTTTGACCTGGGGTTTCAAGACTTCTGCAGTCGACTGTACTTGCTGTTGTCTGTGTGTCTGTGACTGATCTTGTCGTCTGGATTTCTCTGCAGGCGTTCAGGGAGAACGAGGAGGCTAAAAGGCGTCTTGTGGATTCCTACGAGCTCATGTTGGGTTTCTACGGCATCCAGCTGCTGAGCCGGGAAACCGGCGAGGTCAAACGAGCTGAGAACTGGAGGGAGCGCTTCGCCAATCTGGAGCGGTCAGTTGCGTGCTGCACATCCTGCACGTTCACACAGCAGTGTAGATCACAGATCTCACTTAGAGACACGAGAAACCCCACAATTGTTTTGTGTATTTATTTAAAACTTGTCCATTTTCATTGAGTGCTGTGCGTTTCAGCTGCAGTAGTTAGTTAGAACTGAAGTTATTAGGGGTGTAAAACTCTGACATTGCAGTGATTCACTTAAATTATGATTCTCCAGAAAAAGATTTTTGAATAGTAATAAAAGTCTAAAGAACTGAGTAGTAAATAAGATTTTTAAGCACCTTAGCATCTCTCCAACATTATACATTTTCATATCTAAGAACCATGAACAGCCTGAACTCTATCCTCCAGTAGAGGGCAGTGTAGAGCCTGCATCTTATGGTTTTAAACTACATTCAAATATCTTAATTTTATTTTGACAGCTCTGATAAACAATAAAAACAACACACCAAGCTTTTTTATATATTTGTATATATGAAAATAGCCTGAGAGCGAGAGCATAATTAATTGAATGTAATTTATAATTGATTCATCAGAGCAGTTTTGCGCCCCTAGAAGTAATTGTTATTTTACCACAGTTGTTATCTTTCACAATCATATGTTTGCATCACGACAAACAGAAAATTAATTGGGAAGTTCAAACCTTCAGTGTTATATCACCTTTAGAGGGCGGCACTGAGTGACATTTGTTTATATAGTGTTTGTTAATTACACATTTGGAGGGCGACGGTGAGTAGCGTTTGTTAATAACACCTTTAGAGGGCGGCAGTGAGTAATGTTTGTTTATTTGATGCTTGTTAATGACACCTTTGGAGGGTGGCAGTGAGTAACGTTTGTTTATTTGATGCTTGGTAATGACACCTTTGAAGGGTGGCAGTGAGTAACGTTTGCTTATTTGATGTTTCTTAATAACTCTTTTAGAGAGTGGCAGTGAGTTATGTTTGTTATTTGAGTTTTATTAATAACACGTTTAGATGATAGTAGTGAGTAGTGTTTGTTTATTTGATGTTTGTTAATGATGCTTTTAGAGGGCAGCAGTAAGTGACGTTTGTTTGTTTAATGTTCATTAATGACGCCTTTTGAGGGTGGCAGTGAGTAACGTTTGCTTATTTGATGTTTGTTAATAACTCTTTTAGAGAGTGGCAGTGAGTTATGTTTGTTATTTGAGTTTTATTAATAACACGTTTAGATGATAGTAGTGAGTAGTGTTTGCTTATTTGATGTTTGTTAATAACTCTTTTAGAGAGTAGCGGTTTGTTTATTTAAGTTCAAGCTGTGTCGCTTCAGTTGGGAGCTATTGAGAATCAGCTGGAAAGCAAGATAACTAATCTTATGCTTGTTAATGACACCTTTGGAGGGTGACAGTGAGTAACGTTTGCTTATTTGATGTTTGTTAATAACTCCTTTAGAGAGCGGGGGTTTGTTTATTTGAGTTCGAGCTGTGTCAGAATCAGCTGGAAAGCAAGATAACTAATCAGCTAATGTGACTACTTTTCATTTGTACTTTAATAGTTGCATACAATAAACAAGAAAGACAAATTGCTAATGTTTCATTGTTACGGTTTTCCTTCATTCTCTCATAGGTGTCTGTCAATAAAATGATTTCTCTGTCGATCTCCTTTCTTTCAGGAACATGCACAATAACTTGCGGATCACCCGTATCCTGAAGAGCCTGGGGGAGCTTGGCTTTGAGCACTATCAGGCTCCTCTTGTGCGTTTCTTTCTGGAGGAGACACTCGTGAGGAAGAACCTGAGCAGCGTGAAGCGCAGCGTGCTGGACTACTTTGTGTTCGCCGTGCGAGACAAGCGGGAGCGCCGGAAGCTAATCCGCTACGCCTTCCAGCACTTCGAGCCCAAAGACAAATTTGTGTGGTGCCCCAGGAAAATCCAGAAACGCTTCAAGAAAAAGGCGGAGAAGAGACAAGACTCAGCAGTGGGCAACGGACAGGCGGCCACGAGTGAGGAGGTTCGACCCCAGAGCAAAATTAAGGATGGAGAGAGAGATGGGAAGATCATTGAGATCCAGAAACAAAGTGATGATGACCCCATGAGCATTGACTTTGAAAAGCAATTAGAAGGTTCCACGGCTGACCTGGAACTAATCCACGATGGTCCTTCACTAGACCCTTTGCCTCTCAACAACGGCAACAGTGTTGACAACGGTGAAATGGACCACTCTTGCAGCGTTGAACCCAATGCTGCTAAAATCCAGGATGCAAATGAGGAGGAACGCATGAAGGACAGTCAAACAGCGGCAGCTAAAGCACCTGAGAACATTCTGCTTGATTCGGATCAGGACAGCACCAAGGTCACGGATGAAAATGTCGTGGTAGAAACCAACAACTGTTCTCCAGAACATTCCAGCTTCCAGGAGGAGTCTGAGAACGTGATGCTTACTGCAGATTCCCGGCCCAGAGAGACTGAAGGAAGCCCCACAGTAACATGTTCGGGAAAACCGGTGGTAGAAAGTCCAAAACATGCCTTGGTGTCCGCACCTTTAGGCGAACGCGCAGAAAAGCTTCCTAGGACTGACGCATTAGGCATGTCTGACCACACAGAGGCTTCAACGACCGTTTGCTCGCTAGATAACCAAGGAAACGTTGGCACAAACAATGTCAACAGGCAAAAGAATGGGACGGAGAAGGTGGAGCCAATGGACACCGACCCCAGCGTAGGTTGCCGAGGTGATTCTTAAATGAGTCAAAGAAAAGAGGATGAATTAGTTTGGATAGATAGGAAAAATTAATTCTGCAAGTCAACACAAAACACTTCATACCGTAAATAAGTGTGGGTGGGGAATATAAACTATTAATCTTAATCATTGATGAGATATGGACAAACAAATAAATGAAATTTATTCTTCAAGGAAGGGATGGATTGTGCATTTTTTTGTTTGGCTGTTAAAGTAAACATCAAAAACAGATGTAAATGTTATTGTCACAAAGCGAAACGGAGGGAAAATGGATTATCTTTGCCTTTTTCTCATTTTTCCCTTTTTTTGTGTATAAATATTATTTGTAGGAGGGATATTAGTAAGCCCAGTGCAGAAGGAAAGTGTTGTCTTTGATACTGTGAAACATGTTGACGTGTTCTTTAACGGTCAGCAGTCTACCATATGCACTTTTCAAACCCAAATGTAAGACGACAAATTTAATGACGATGTATAAGTACCACAAACCACATGGAAAACATTTGCCAGAAAAAAAAATCACATCCAAATTTGGTAATCATTCTTAATGGGGAATTTCAAAATGTTTGTTTTTTTCTGCATAAGTAAATCATTAAGAAACGTACCAAGTCAGAATTGTTCACAGTGGTGGTGATAGGAACCAGACCTCTGCCTGATGTTTGAGACATTGTTTTACGATAGTTTTGACAGGATTTTGGCCTAAAGTGTATTTCTGACGTGTATTCGTGGTAGAGAGATGCATGTAAGATGCTACAAGGCAAAACAGTCCCCTAAGAAAACTTATTTTTTCAGATTTTACCATCATCAACATTCCATATGAAACTCTGAAGACACGTGTAGGTTCACTGGTGGTTTTAGATAGTGAATAAAATGTCTAGATTTATGTTAGTCATGGTGACCCCTGGTTCCTATCACCTCCACTGTAAAGAAACCTGAACCATTTCACACCAAACCACTCTGAATGACTCTGTTTACATCTCACACACTGAATTGTGCAGAAATTTTGAAAAAAAGGTGGAATTCCCCTTTAAGAACAGCAGCATTAATTTGAAACCTTTGAAGCGACTAAAGCAATTTGAAGCGCAAGTTTCCGTGAAAAAGATCAGTAGGGCTCCAAACAGTGCACAGACAGCAGCTTTGCTCCTTGTTTGCGCAAAATGAGGGTGCAAATTATGGCAAGTTCTTTTAACCTACAGTCACGACAGCAATTAATCGTTAAATGACAAGTTTCAGCTCCATCAAAATATTCGTTATAAAACAAAAACATCCAGATCTAAACTGCTTGGTGAAGCCATGTTGTAAAACACTTCATACACGTAGTTATGAGCACTCAACTAAATTCTGTATTAATGCACTGAGATGTTTAAAAGTGTTCTTGTATGGAGCATGGAACTTAGTATAGGTGGAACCAGGCATCAGCGTGGATATGAAGTAAACAGCACAGAACCATGTTGAACATAGAAAATGGTTCCATATAGAACCACAAACACTCACTTAAAGGGTTCTTCAAAATTGATGAAGTGTGTTTTTTGTGGTTCTATATAGCACCAAAAAGGTAGAACCATCTACATTCTTTATCATTCTGAAGAACCATTTAATCATGCAAAGTGTTATTTGAGTGTTTATGGTTCTATATTGAACCATTTTCTTTACTAAAGAACCCTTGAAGAGCAATCATTTTTAAGAGTGTACGCAAGAACCCAGCTCTGTTTAAACCATAATATTGCCGTTGTCTGAAGAAAACCTTGTATCTACAAAATGGTCATTTCACAGAAGGAAAAAACATACTTTACTTTTAATGTAAGTCAATGAAACCAGACCTTTTCCCAGGTAATTTTGGGCTTCTTTGTTTCTTTTAGTCCATTCATGATGAAATTTACCCACAATGTAAAGAGCAACAGGCATTTTCAAATGATGTCAAAAACTTAAAAACGACAAAGATGGAGATATGAGGTTTTCTTCCGACAGCAGCAAAATGTTCATGATTATGTGACCAAAAGCTAAAAAGTTGACAAAATGACTGAAATATTTAGTGATGGAATACTAACAGTTCTATAAACTAAAATTCTCATGTAATATTTACTCTTCATTACTAGCATAAATGCCCTAAAAGCTTTGGCACAGTAGCTCTTGAAAGCCATCGCCATCCACCACATCCTTCTCTATAATTCTGCACTCACATATATAATATCCTCATGCAATATAGTTGTTCCATATCACTTGCAGATGTTTGCTTTCAGCTTCATTTTCACACTTCATTTTTAGTCCTCCAATAATAAACACACCTATTTAAACAGAGCTCTGAAGTGTGTCATTCTGTAGTGTGTGTCATGCCCATGTTAGGAACTCCAGGTCTAAGCTGGTCTTCTCTTTTCTCGAATGATGAGGTTGAGGAAGCCCAAATATGTATATTGGTACATGTAAGCTCATCTTAAGCTCACCTAAATGCCCCACACAAACCAGCTTGCTTTGGTAGTTAAGATGCTTTGGCTCACTCTTAAAAATATGGTGCTTTAAAGGTTTTTAGTGAAGAACATGGTTCTGTGTAGAACCATGAACTCTCAAAGAACCCTTTGCATAATTAAAAAGTTCTGTGCATCATGAAAGGACTCTTCAGGCTGATGGAGAATGTGCTGTACATGTTTCTATATAGAACATTTTTGAAAATGGTTCTGTATAGCACCCAAAAGGGTTCTTCGATTGTTACAGTGTCAAGCTTGTAACAATAGAAGAACCCGTTTCAAAAAGGTTCCATATAGAATCATCTACAGCACATTCATGCACATCTAAAGAACACTTTCATGGTGCAAAGAACCCTTTAGTTGTGCAAACGGTTCTTTGAGTGTTCATGATTTCTATATAGAACCATTTTCTTCAGTAAAGAACCCTTGAAGAACCGTCTTTAGGAGTGCAGTTTTAGGCTGTAGTCGGGTTATTCTCACGACCACTGCAAATGCTGAACTTGAAACAATTAAAAAGACAAACTTTTTGTTTTCTGTGTTTTGTATATACAAGTAACAATGTTTGGTTAAATAATTAAAATTAAACCTTAATGATTTCATTGCTTTTAAATTATTTTAGTAACATTTGCATATGAAGTTACCAAATTATCATTACTGCAACACAGCAATGTTCTGTAAATAATCTTACTTTTTCTTATTTTCATAAGCTGCACTGTTGTCAGGCTGAAAATATTAAAACCAATTATTAAAACACATATTTTGCATGTGTATTTTGCGATTTTCTCTCATTACCGCAACATATGAACAGCTTTTTTTTGTTTTACTTGTGCAACAAAACAAAACATAAAATTGCAAAACACACAAGCAAAAACATGAAAAGCAAAAAGATTTAACAGTTAAAAGTAACAAATGAAGGGGTTTTAAAAATGCCAAACAACTATAAAATAGAAAAATGATCTCCAGAAGCTTTGCTGTTTCATATAGACCTCCAGTTGATCTACCAAATTATATTAATGTTTAATATTTCTGGATGTGTTTTGAGCTGGTTTCATGTTGGTATATAAGAATGCTCAAGTTTAATAATAGACTTACTATTACACGAGGTCATTTCAGTGCTCAGCAGTGTTAGCTTGCTTTTGACTGCTAAACAGCCTTGCAGTTCAGAGGATCCAGTATTTTACATATTTTCTCCTGAGAAACAAGACAAAATGTACCTGTTTGAAACACTTATGTTTACCACAGGACACAACAGCGGCGATTTTTCATGAACAGCATGCGTTTTTCCCATAGTGATAAATGGCTTAGGCCCGGATTTCCTTATATGGGCATGACAGGAATGACACACGTCTATAGGAGGTCTATAAGATCTGTTGCATTGGTTGAACAATTGTTTAGTGATCATTCACAGTTGTAGTGCAGAATATTTCTTTATCCAGATTATAGTGCAAAAGCATCAGGATATTATTCCCAAGCTTATGAATGTGGCCTGTTAACCTGTTTTTTCTCTGTTGACTATTTTACCTTGTCCAAAAACAAGTCAGAGCCCTTAGTCATATGCAAAAGTTTGGGCGCCCCTGGTCAAATTGCATGCTGTGTTGAACTTCTAAGTGTGAATAAGTTAACACATCCTCTACAGAGAACACACTTCTGCACATTTTAATGCACAGTTACTCTTTGTTTGCTGAATTTAAGAAATTGGCAAAAAATAAAACAGAAAATGTGGCCTTTACAAAGGTTATGACACATTTTATATTCTATGTTTTTTTTGTTTTTTTTTTTTCTAACCTAGCAAGTAAGTAGAGACTGAACTTTGCAGGAAAATGTCATATGTAAATGTGTTCTCTGTAGAGGATGTGTTAACTTATTTTAATTTAGCAAATCAACACAACATACTTTGACCAGAGGTGTTTTTAATTTTGCATATGATTCCCTGTAACTATGTTAAAGAGCATCAGCCCATAATGTCCAGCTCATACTGAAATGCATGTGGTGTTTGTAAGACTACAAACTGCAGTACTGCTGAACAAGGTATTTTTTGTGAGGAAAAGGTCTAGTTCAGGCTGCACAGTGTCTAGAAATAATGCTTTTTTCCTCATTATGGATGTTTTAGAGTCCGTAAATATGCTGTACTCTTGGTTACCTTTAGCTCAAGACTTGAAGTTAGCAATACTTAATCAGTTATGCAAGTCAAGCACATAAGGTCAGTTCCCCCGACCCGGATTAAAGAGGGATTCCATCAATTTTTCAGTCGTTGAGATGTAAACAAAGTAATTCAGCATGGTTAATTATAGAGAAACTCAGATTTCTTTACAGTGGTGGTGATAGGAACCAGAGGTCGCCATGACTACAACAGAAATATAGGCATTTTATTTACTGTCCAAAACCAACAGTGAACGTCTTCTGAGCTCTTATATGGAATGTTGATGATGGTGAAAAAGTGGTGAATCTGAAAAAATAACTTTTTTTTTGCCACTTAACGTTCTGCATGTATCATAAAACATTATCTCACACATAAGGCAGTGTATTCATAACCACTTCATATAATAACTTTCTGTGAAGGAGCGTTTAGAGGTGGACGTCTGGTTCCTGTCACCGCCACTGTGAACAATTCTGACTCATTAAGTTTCTCTAGAATGAAGCATTTCACACCAAACCACTCTGAGTGACGCTGTTTACGTCAATTTAATTTTGAAGGGAATTTTGAAAGCAAAAAAAGGT